ACTGGCAACGGGATCGCAACCCTCGGCGCTGCGCCCGCACCTCGCTCAGCCAGTGAGCGGGAACCGGTCTGTATGTGGGATCCGAACCCTCGGGCGGGAGCGCCGCCGCGCTTCCCAAGCGGCGCACTATCCAGTGCGCCACCGGGCCGGCCCCTGGTCCATTCTTTTTGCATAGTTTTCCTTCTCTACCAGGTTGTTTTTCCAAAATATTTAAAATAACAGCATCTTCTGACACTTGATGTCAGGAACTCCCCACTACAACATACTGTTTCTGTGTAGACCTTGCTTAGTGCCCTTCTCCCAAAGACAACCTATAGCATCTCCAATATAAGTGGCATTTTTGTTAGATCCCAGTTGGTCAGGGAGGTAGAGCAAAGTCAACTAAGGGGAGAAGATAGGCAATAAGGTCAGAAAGAGGCCGTGCAGAACAAGTTCATGCAAGGCCTTGTAAACTATTTAAAGACTTTGACTTTTACAGTGAATGAGAGGGAGATCCAATGGAGGATTTTGAATATAAGAATGACATGATATGACTTATTTTAACAAGAACACTCTGGCTACTGCATTGAGTATGGGCTATTAGAAGTGTAACAGTAGAAGCAGAGAGACCAGTTAGGATAGCAGATGGCACTGTATTAATCTTGGTGAGACATGGCTTTGGACAAGATGGTAGAGATATAGGTGGAGAGAAGTCAAAATATGGATATATTTTGAGGCTAGAGATGAGAGGATTTGCTGTTAGATGTAATGTCTTACTCCTTTAGATTCTTATTTAGTTTTAGATTATTCCTGGACATTGTATTTTGAACAAGTTTCCTATCTGATTCTGACTGTCACCAGAGGTAAAGAACCACTGTCTTTGCTCTCCTTTATGAGCTCTCCTCATTTTCTCTATTCTCATTTCCTTCTCTTCCACCTTCTTTTTTTTCCAAATTGTAGTGTTAAGAGTTGTTTAAATTATTTACTATTTTTAATTTTTCATTTCTACCTAGAATTTTCGTTTCTCCTGCAATGTCTAAACAAAATATCTCCTGTTTTCTTTCTTGTTATCTTACAGATTGGGAGTCTGGAAGAGACACTAAGAATTTATCTCCAAAGAAGGACAGTTATGAAATTAAATCATTGCAGCAAGAGATAACGAAAAGACTTACACAGTCTAATCTCGAGTACACCAGGGTCATAGGTAACAGAGAAATCAAATGCCAGTTGGAAAGACAACACGGGTGTCAGGAAGGACATTCCAGACAAGCTGTAGTAACCTCTGGAGTTAATCAGTGCGTAGCTCAAAGAGAACATCAGAAAAATCATACTGGAGAGAAATCCTGTGAATGCAAGAAATGTAAGAAAGGTTTTACGTGCCAGTCACATCCTATTCAACATGAAAAAATTCATAATAAGAGAAAAGACTCTGAATGTGGAGAATGTGGGAAAATCTTTAACAATAAGTCAGACTTGATTAAGCATCAGAGACTTCATGAAAGCAAAAGAAGTAATGAAAATAAGAAATGTGCCTCTGTTCGTGACTCTGAAATTACTCAGCCTCAGAGCATTAATACAGGTGAGAAACCTCATAAATGTAAGGAATGTAGGAAAGCCTTTCATACTAGCTCACAACTTAGTCAGCATCAAAGGATGCATATAGGTGAGAAACCCTATAAATGTAAGGAGTGTGGGAAGACCTTTCCATCTACTGCACAACTTAATCTACATCAGAGAATTCATAGTGATGAGAAATACTACGAATGTAAAGAATGTGGGAAAGCCTTTACCCGTCCCTCACACCTTTTTCGACATCAGAGAATCCATACTGGTGAGAAACCCCATAAGTGTAAGGAATGTGGGAAAGCTTTTCGTTATGACACACAACTTAGTCTTCATCAGATAATTCATACTGGTGAAAGACGCTATGAATGTAAGGAATGTGGGAAAGTATATAGTTGTGCCTCACAATTGAGTCTGCATCAAAGAGTTCATACTGGTGACAAACCCCATAAATGTAAGGAATGTGGGAAAGCTTTTATCTCCGATTCACATCTTATTCGTCATCAGAGTGTTCATACTGGTGAGAAACCCTATAAGTGTAAGGAATGTGGGAAGTCTTTTTGTCGTGGCACAGAACTTACTCGACATCAGAGAGCTCACGCTGGTGAGAAACCCTATG